TCCCCGAACTCAAATCGTAAATATCAAACAGGTTTGATATTTATGACTCTTGATCGGGCTGCCTCTGACCTGATACCCATGATAGCCAATGAGAGCGAGCATGCGTCACCTCCCGGATGTTGTGTGCTTCTATAGCTGAAACTTGGCAGCCACAAACATGCCGTGAAAGCAGAGAACATCACCCATATTCTTTGTTATACTTTGTTTTTCACAGGAGAGCCAGCTGCCAGCTGATTGTCCTCTATTTGTTTTTCTTCTCTAGTCACTTTTGATCTCGCGAGTGTTCGTGAGATCATGTGTCACTGTGAAATCGTTCCTACAATCGACAAGTGTGTGGTCTCGCGATCTGCTCGAATCGTCTAGTGTGTGCGTTCAGAGGATAAGGCTAAAAATCGGTTGAACTGTCTTCATGTCTGTGGTCTCCCATGGTTTTAAAATCGTTTAAGATTTGAAAATCGTCTAGTGTGTCCCAGGCCTAAAGCTTTGTCTTTGTCGCCATCTCTGTTTGAAAACCTGCAATTGCAGCTATTTGCGGAATTATCTTCTTTGTGTGGGTTGTGCACCGGCATTGCTCCAGCGCAGATGAATCTAATGTTTTGAGGTGTATGTGTGGCTGTCAGTCACCACACCGGTGTGGGTGTACTGTACTTAGGAATCACAGATTCTAGCCTACGTCTTGGAATATATGACCCAAATTAGAATTTTCACCGGATATTGTCATCTGAACAAGTAACAAGTCTGCCACTTTTGTTCTGACCAACTGAGGAAAAAAAAACATTACAATAAATCGCACTACCAATGGTGATTAAATCTAATGATCACTTAGCTCATATCACATCAAACCGTGCAAATTATTATTATTGTTATACTTTTTTTCTCAAATTGTTAATGTTAACAACATGAGCATTGTGTGTATGTAGTGTGTATTAGCGTTACATGAAGATTTCAATTTCTGTAGTCTAATTTCTAATTTTCATACCATTCAAATTTCATATTAAGAAATTCTTTTAATCCAAAAAGCAAATGATTCTTTCTTCGAACTGTTTCTTTTTAAAATACAAAAACGTGTGTAATCCTAGGCTATCTGTAATCAGATGCATATTTAAAACTGGAATATAATTTAAGTCACATG